CATCAGTAATAAATGTTATTCGCAATACAGCATCATAAAAGTCGGCACGGTTTGCGCGGTGGCTGCCTGGCTGGTCAACGTGCCGCCGCGGGACCGATTCCCGCACGTGACAATTCTTTGTGTGATCCACAGATTGTTGTTCTGGGTTTGGGTGTCATGTCCAGTGAACTTCTATGTTTGTAAACGCACCCACGACACAGGAGAAAATCCTAGTAAGGAGCAACGTTTAAAAAAATTTGATAAAACACTAAACTTCCCTCGTTATACGAGGGTTCAAAAGGTGCCCTAAAAATGGGAGAACTTCGTAGGACGAAGAATATAATTAAATACGAGCTTAAGCAACAAGACCCTGTGATAATAGCGTAGGATTATCATTTCTACAGACTGGAAGCAAACCTACGCGTGTTTGAATTAATGAGGATAAGGTTAGTGAAACCTCATGTGTTAGGCGTATCATGTGCATATCGCAGTACGCCTTTCAGTTCCCGACAGGGCAAAAGTACCATGTTGAATGTGTCACCAGTTACACTTCGCCAGTTATGATTATCGTCCCATGTAATAGGACACTAAGGGCTAATTTTTCAAACGCCAGATAACTAAATTGTATCGCAGGAATAAGCTTGAATATTTAGCAATAATCTTCTATACAAAAAACAGTCCAATGTCAATTTTATTCCACAGTTTTAAGATTTTTTAATCAACAGTTTTTAAGAAACATGTTTCTAACTAAATCCAATAGGATTATTAATTCGACGATTAATTCCTAGTCATATTAATTCGAAGTGATCGTGAGTTATGTACACAAATTAAATACCTACCTACAAGTATCAAAACTAATTACAGAATATGTTTGCTTACTTTACTTACCTGCATTCAGATGTTTTAAAAATATTCCGAACATAATTCTCAGATTCTATTCCACTAACCGTAGAGTTTTTATTTCTATGACAAAATAATTTTAATAAAACCTAAGATACTGTACACAAAATTAGTATTATTTACTTAGTTCTTATTTATGTATTAACTTACATAACATTAAATTAGTTAGTGTTCATTCATAAATTTATAGCACACCATGCTTATTAGTATCTGTTAAAACATAACACTATTTGTTTGGCATCAATTCAGAATTTATTCCTGTCACCACCGACAATTGATGAACAATATCATCACAAAAACTGTGTCAGCAATTCAAACAAAATCATTTGATACTTAAAATATAAATGAAGTCATCAACCTTTCTCTGATTAAACCAAGTACAATCTAATTTCGTCCCAACTGCACTTTGGCTTGCAAAATTCATTAATCTTAAATCTTGGAACTTATATTCTGAAGCAGGGGCCAAACAAATATGGAACACTCTGGAATATTCTAGAAAACTAACTGTCTTGCAGAGTCCATGAGTTCTGTGATATATGGACACCGAGACTCAAGACAGGGACTCCGAAGTGCTCCTTCAGACAAGAGCTGTTGCTGTTCTTCATAGTCTCTATTAATGCTTTAGATGTTTTCCCAACATTCTCATTCCGTTTAAGGAATGCTGCTAAATCCACTCCACAGGTCTCATTGACTGCTTTCCGACATTCAGCGGCAGCATGAGGACTGAGCTTCCCGTGAACTTGAACTGCTGAACTGCAGACTTCGTTGATAAGCTCCAGAACAGCCATATCGTTTTCGAATAGGACCTCGCAGCATCCTGTTGGTTTCATTAGTAGGAAACATGGTGTGCATAAAGGCACAATTAAAAAAAAAATATTTTACACAAAAAATTCAGATTAAAAACCAGTGCATATCTTTTATGTAATATTTGCACTAAAAAAATTATAATTTTTTTAGTGCAAATTTCCAGGTTCATATAACAAAAATGGAGTTATGAGCTTATAGATAATCAGGTATAGTATAGATACAAAATAAATATGATGTATGTAGCTGATTAAAATATACAAGGGTAAACACTGAATGGGTTTAAGATAGACTTGTGTAATTTTTCTCTTTACAACATACACTGCAGTTTAAACTTCTAATATGACTGTTTATGTGTTTTTATGAGGGTCAGGATGAAGCGTAAACTATCAATAACACCTGACTATCTATGTATTATTGTTTATGTGATGTAAGCAAGTACATTCTTACTTCTTTCTCTACAATGCTTGGTATTTCAAAACATGACGCTTTCATATAAAAATACCGTGTGATGACAAGAATTGAGAATTTATCTAGTTGCAAATTATTTCTAATAGACTATAGTTTAGTAGGTATTCCTTTTATAGTTTTGTAGTATTAATTTATACATTCAGGTATAAAATATGGGTAAATACTTGAATTACTCTTTTCCTACATTAACATTGCAAATACAATAATATGTTATTTTTATAATATTTAAAAAATAAAATATGTTTTTAATCTTTGAACATTTTGTTTGCCTAATGCCTGACATTCAAGGCTGAATGATATTATAGAAAATAATTATTTTGACAGCCATTTCCTCATTTTTAGAATAAGAATGGCACAAGGAATCTTTACTTGTATAAATATCCTTCACCAGGTCTGTTGGATTTAAGTTATGACAAGTAGCAAATTACAGAATATTAGTATTAGTTATTGTGGTAGTCCTATAGATAATTTAAGTATTATTGTGGAGATGTTGCTCATACATTTAACTGTTCTATAATTGTGGCTAAGTAATGGAAAATTATATTTGCCATAATTGAGTATGCAGTATTTTATGTAATTATTCTTGTGTACATGCCACATTCCAATCAGATCTTTCGTAAATATTAAATGCGCAGAGTCAACAGCTGGACCGCGACGTATTTGCACACCAATACCTCGTTCTTGTGAACTGCAAATATACCCATTTCAACGCACGATTTCACCCGCTAAAATTTGTATTAAACATTTATGTAATCCGAAATATGACATCGACTGTAACCAAACGTGTTACAATGATAATTTTCCAGCTGTAACCGGCGTATAATTAGATTATAATCATCACAGAGTGAGCTAAAACGCTCGCTTTCGTCACAGCGTCCAGCGATATTGACATTGAGCTTGTGTTAAAAATACCGACATTACCTGCCTCCCGGTCGAACTTGTTCGGCTTGAGCTGCTCCCCACTGGGGCCTGTGATCAGCGGCGACAGGATCCTAGGCCACAACACAGCAAAACACCCAACAACAATCACAAGTACAAACATCGTCTTCCGCGGACCCAACACCTCCTCGTTCGGCATTTTGTCGTCGTGTTTTCGTATCGTTTCGTCACGCACGTACACAGCCAGTCGCACTCTACGGGAACATCGTCGTGTGTGATATAAATAAAGATTTTCGTCCCACACGTCCCGCCCGTGAAGAAAGCGCGCAGTGACAGCTGTCAGACGCGCCCTCTCCCGGCGAAAACGTTACGGGAGCGATCCGAAATCCGAATTTTCTTTCGTTACGGGAGCGTCCGCAATAATTCTTCTTCCGTCCAGAAATCTTCATTTGCAGAAAGCCGGTGGATTGAGCTGGCTCGAAGTGACACAGCCGTATACCAACATCAAACAGCTATGCCGACTTCTTGCCTTCCCAGCCACCGGCTCGGCTTCCTCTGGCGTCCAAGTCGACTGTACGGCATTGCAGTTCAAATATTGACAGAGTGAATTAACGCTTGCCAGGCGAGCGCGGCGCTCGGTGGGCAGAACTCGGAACAATATGCCTGGGCGCGGAGGCGGCGCCGGCTAATAACCCGTCCCCACCGCGATGAGGACTACACGCGCCCAGATGAATACTAATTAGACAATATGTGTAGGTACTTACCGTTTAGACGGGCCGGCCTGAGGAAAAAATTTAAATGTTTGAAGGGCTGTAATGTTCCTGATGTTTGCCACGTGTGGTTCTTGTTTTTTTTTAAATATTTTGTGACCGAGTGCGTCACCACAGCGACAGCCGATGTCGCATCGGGTCAAAGTATCCCAGTCATAAAGTAGGTAACGTAAGTGCCTACATAATATATTTTAACTGTATTGCGGAAAACGTGAGTTACTTAGGTACATGCAGTTTGTTGAATTTACATTCATAAATCAATATGAATGGATGCCGGATGAATCTACTTGGCTAGCGCCTACCTAATTGGTGTTGTTATGTGAAGCATATAGCCTTCAGTGGACACATCACACGCCTAGTTACTCTACATTCCATGTTTTCTTATTAAGTAGGTACAGAGTTATTAAAATTTAAACTTCTAGAAAACTGAATAAGCGTAATAAAGATTTTTTATGTAAGTAAGTCTAAAGCTTCCAGCAAGAAGACTTGCATCACACTCAGCAGCAAGAACCAGAAGTATTTATATTGGATCACAACAAAACCGTATACCCCAAAAATACAATAACCTTTAGAACAACAATGCTATGAGTCATCCCGCACCGTGTAAGGAGCTAATCTTAGGAAATCTCGGTTCAAAGTAAACACAACTTTATCTATGAACATGCAGGTGAATACAGTTTGCAAACAGACGTTTTTTTATTTATTAACTTTGTGGGTTTGTTATCGTTTTGTAGACTCTGTACAGTTTTTTGTAAATATTTAATGACAGCCTAGTTGTAGGGGACTGGTAACACCAGCAACAATCTTAATTATTACTTAAATAAAAAGTTATAGCGTGGATGAGAACAGTTTTCTGAAGGGAACCTGGCTGTCAAGGCTCGAGTGAATAGGTTGCTTGGGACAACGTGCTCCATCGTAGACCACATCATCGCTTACCACCAGCGAGATAGTGGTCAAACGTCGGCCCATGAAATATTAACATTAACATAACATTACGCCTTTTATCCCCGAAGGGTTAGGCAGAGGTGTACATTATGCCACTGTAATTGTACATTGGTAACACCCACTTTTCACTATTTATGTTATGAGTCCCATGTAATAGGGGGTGAGCCTTTTGCTATACCGGGCACAATTCCAGACTCCGTGCTACTACTGAGATTTTTTTTAAAACCCAGTAATACTTTGCCCGACCCGGGAATCTAACCCGATACCAATAATTGCCCGGCAGTCGCACTTGCGACCACTGGGCCAAAGAGGCAGTCTTTATTATACTTCTACCAAAGAGTATTATTTTATTCTAAACACAACGCGGTCTACTCTAAATCACTGGTTAGCAAAAATTACGAGATAATAAATGTCCAAACCCTCTTTGATGTAACGATATTCAAAGAGGTTTTCTTCCTATTTGGTATACAGATTTAGCGGGGTTTTAGGATATAAGTAATTTACAGCAATAGCTAGTATTATCATATTAATTATCTACTTATAGTTAAAGATACTCCTGACTCCTATATGCTCAAACACCCACATAAGTAGGTACGTCTATTTTGATTGCTTTACCAAATTAGACAGAAAAGGTCTTACTAATATCCAAGTTGGCACCTAAGCAGTTAAGATTTCTACCAAGGACCTATAAATAATCTAGTTTTTCAGCTGTCTGCGGAGCCAGGTACTTATCTTCAATACATAGTATAAAACAAAGTCGCTTTCGCTGTATGTCCGTATGTATGCTTAGATCTTTAAAACTACGCAACGGATTTTGATGCGGTTTTTTTAATAGATAGAGTGATTCTTAAGGAAGGTTTGTATGTATAATACATGCATATTGCACCCGTGCGAAGCCGGGGCGGGTCGCTAGTTAAATATAAAAGAAAGTCGTGTTAGTTACTATTTATAACTCAAGAATGCTTCAATCGAAATATCGGGATTGCGCGTACGAAGTCGCGGGCAAAGCTAGTTGTTAGATAATTCTCTAACTTAAACGATGTCAATCAAATCATTCAATGTTCCTTATGATAAAATATTCCTACATCTTCCAAGAAATCTACCTGCTTGTGTTAACCAAAATATGTGAAAAAGAGGCGACATCGTTTCATCACCTTTCACACGGAAGGAAGAACAACAAAACTTAAATGTGAATCACGCGCAGGATACGCGTTAAGAAATATAAACTATCAAACGGAAACCAGCCAGGATATCCTTTTTATTTATGGTATGCTGTCTCCTTAGCATCCAGACGCACTTATAACGCCTTACCTGGGCGGTGTTCGGTGGGTACCAGCGGCCATTTTGAAAAACATGCGCGTACGTCGTTTCCTGCAACGAAATGGTACGCTACCTACCCATTGTTATATGGGAGGGGATGCGTGTGACATGAATACATATTGGAATAATGGTTTAACTGTCGAATTAAAAAAATATGTTGGCCCTACATCAGTAGGAAGGTTTCTTGTTCAATAGATATTTGGTAAACTAAACACAGAAATCGAGGTGGAAGATTTATCGAATGTTTTTGACTTGGAACTGTGTTTTGTTCAATTAATTAAGTTTGAGAACCGATTGAATAGTAATGCTGATTCTATTTTGATGTTGTTGAATTGTTTCATTTACGCTACATAGTCGCTACTTATTTGTTGAAGCTTTAACAGTATATTTATATTCTTACGACTTTGACTGATGTCTGCAGCTTCGCATTCATCACACTCCAAGGAAAGAGTAGCCTAATTTCACTAAAATCACTCCAGTGTAGTTACACTGTAGGTGTACTGGTAGGGACAGTTGTCCCTACATAAAAATCATGTCAAAAAATCGTTCCATTACGACAAGAAAAAACAAACACCTAGTTTCTCACATAGGTAGGTGCTTATTGAAGGGCTCCTCTCCCACTGAGTGGATGGTGTAGAGCCGCTCCAGTACAACATGTCGTGGGTTTGAATCCCACTACATCTCGCGTTTATTTTGAAGAATAAGGCACGAAACTTAGTAACTCTTGGATTTCAGTGAAAGGTTTTTACTTAGATTAGTTACCTCATTGGTCAAGTGGTCGCAAGTGCCACTGCCGCGCAAGGGGTCTGGGGTTCGATTCCCGGATCGGGCAAAGAACTACTAGGTTTTTTAAAAATATCAGTAGTAGCACGGAGTCTGGAAATGTGCCCGATATATGGCAATTGAACTTTCAAACACCGCGAGGACATCGGTGACCGCAACCTATTGTTCTTTAATTGTGTCTATAATAACGGTACTCATAGAGTTAATAGGCCTATTGCATGGGACTCATAACACAAATATTGAAAAGTGGGTGTTACATTGTATAATGTGAACCTCTGCCAACCTCTTCGGGGATAATAAAAGGTAGTTTTAGTACCTACCTAGAAACAAATTGCTTTACAAGCACACGGCGTAGGTATCTATGTACTAGTACCGTTTCGTCTAGCATGAATGGGTAACTCACTGGTGCTCATTACAATCGTTTAGAGAGCCTAATTATATGTTCAGTGAGTCATCATTAGTTACGTCACTAGCCCATTCATCATCCGCCTACTTAGTTTGTATATACTTTCATTCAGGGCCAGACCGCCATGTTGTACTGTACAGCCCTTGTCTAACTAGCTATATGGGGGCTTAGAGGGCCCAAGAGTGAAATATTTAAAGATTTTAGGGCCTCTTGTGCAATAATATCTTCCTAAATTGTTGTTAGACTAAGATACATTTGCTGTTTCTAGTAATAAGGGGCTAACAAGGTGATAGATCAATGATGGCGATTAGTGCCGTCTATGGACACCAGAGAGTTACAAGTGCGCTACCTAGCTTTTGGGTAGGAGTACGTGCCCTTTTTGAGGGAAAATTTGTCAAATTGTCAGTCCGTTTTAGGTACTAACGGAAACTTCATCAGACGCTGTACGATAACGAGTATTATTATCTATCTTTGAATAAAGCAAACTTTATTATATTCTTTGTTTTTATTTATATTCATTAGTTTAGGTTCATCTATAATATTAAAATGTGCGATCATTTCATGAAATACGCAATCCTGTGATATGGTTTTAAAGGTATTATTTATTTAGATCAACAGAATTCGGACGTTTCCGCTTAGAGTCGTGTTTTGTTCGGGACGCTTCGGATGACGTCATTGACCATTAGTAGTTACCAACTTACCACTGATAGCAGTGATACACATATACTCGGGTAAGTGTGCTTAAATTATGTTTAAATTATTAATGTATTTATCGTTAGCTTAACAAGTGGCCCAATCGCTTTAAGTGTCATATTTGAACTACTCATTTGAAATGATCCAAACTTTCAAGGTTTTTGAGGTTAAAATCAAATATTTCAACCACAAAAGGTCAAAAGGTTTCGCAAAATAAGGAACTTCTTATCTTGTGAAAATATATGTTAGAAGTAAGCACTTACTAAATTCATAATCAAAATTCTATTGTCAGTTACCTACTCTGAAATTAAACACATGGTTTTTGTTTAGGTTTCATTATGGACGAAATGATCTTTCCGAACGAAATATGGTTGGAAATATTCAAAAACATAGACAGACCGAAGTTGATGGAGCTAAG